CGATTCTTAACCACCACACATGGGTGTAAGGCCAGCCTGTTTCACATCTCCGCCCCTGCTACCACTCTCTGTGGCCTCTTCTTTATATCTTTATTTATGTGACTTCTGTTCAGCTATTCTTCAGACTGTTCTGCAGGTTGATTGTTCTAAAAGTGTGTTGTGGTAATGGGAGGAGGCAAGCACAACATTTATCTATTCTGCCATCTTGACCAGAACTACCCAAAGGTTTGCCTTTTATTTTTCTCTTAAGGACAAGGGTCAGATTTCTGGTTAAGATGGCGGAGTAGGTAAACACTGTGTTTACCTGTTCTCATGACCACATCAAAATGACAACTCAACTAACTCAGAAGAATCACCATTGAGAATCGCCTGAAGTCTAGCTGAACTGAAGCCGTACAACTGAGGACATACAGAAGAAGCCACCTCGAGACTGGTAGGAAGGGCGGAGACACGGAACATGCTGGTCCCACACCTGCATGTAACCATTAAAAACCAGGAGGGATATCTTAGCTATAGAGGTCTCCTCTGGAGGAGCGAGGTTTCCCAGTGCCACACCAAGCTCCCCAGCCCAGGGTTTCAGTCCCAGGGAGAGAAGTCCCCATAATTTCTGGCTGTGAAAACCTGAGAATATTGTGGCTGAGTGAGACGAGAGTGGCTGCAGACCCAGGGGCTCCTCTTAAAGGGCCTATGCATGGACTTACTCACTGAGGAACTCACTCTCTCTGAGCTCCATTTGTGACTAAATACATGATCATTGTCTAGTAATGATTCATGAACAGAGAATATTCCTTCTTGATGGAGAATTTCTCTCTCTGTATGTCCTTGAATATATTGGCTGTATTAAATTTCTGGATATAGCCTTATTTTTGATTGCTTAATTTGTCAATTTCTGAAATAGCTATATTATCTGTTACCATATTTGTATTTTTGTTCAAGTTCTCTTTATATTCTTAGGAGTTTATGCTGTATATATTTGTCTGCTTTTTAATGCCAAAAGCATATGACTGTTATATCATTTTCATGGATTGTACCATTTCATGTTTTAGTCTTGAAATTTGCTTTATCTGATATTAATGGTACCACTTCTGCCTTCTTGTTGTTTATATTTACCTAATATATCTTTGTACATACCTTTTTTGTTTTTCTTCAGCTGACTGTACTTTATTTTACTTTTCTTTCCATTTTGGCACATAGCGCTTTCATTTTTCCAGCTTCAAAATTCCTCTTTTTAAAAGATTTTTATTAAAATATAGCTAACATACAATATTATATTAGTTTTGGGTGTACATCGTAGTTATTCAACAGTACCCACCTAGCACTATACATAGTTATTATCATATTATTGATTATATTCCCTATGCTAAAGAAGTGATCACCATTAGTTCAGCAATCATCTGACACCATACCATGCTATCACAGTATTATTGACTATATTTCCTATACTGTATGTTACATCCCCAAGACTTATTTGTTTTATACCTGGAACTTTGAACCTCTTATTGCCCTTTATCTTTTTCCACCTTTAAAACATTTTTTTCAACTACAGTTGACATTCAATATTATTTTATATTAATTTCAGGTGTACAGCATAGTGGTTAGACATTTATATAATTTACAAAATGATCCCCCTGACTATATATCCTCCTGACCCACCTGGCACTATACATAGTTATTACCATATTATTGATTATATTCCCTATGCTTTATTTTACATCCCCATGACTATTTTATAAATACCAATTTATATTTCTTAATCCCTTCACTTTTTCACCCTGCCCCCAACCCACCTCCCATCTATCACACCAATAGATCTAGCACCCATATGACACCATACATAGTTATTACAATATTATTGACTATATTCTTTATGCTCTACCCTACACCCCCATGACTACTTTGTAACAACCAATTTGTACTTCTCAATCCCTTCCCTTTTTTCACCCATTCCGAACACCCCCTCCCATCTGGCAGCCATCAAAATGTTCTCTGTATCTATGAGTTTATTTCTTTTGTTTGTTTATTTTGTTCTTTAGATTCCATTTGTAAATGAAATCATATAACATTTGTCTTTCACTGTCTGACATACTGCACTCAGCTCAATACCCCCTAGGTCCATTCAGGTTGTTGCAAATAGCAAGTTTCATTCTTTTTTACAGCTGAGTACTATTCCATTGTATATATGTACCACCTCTTCTTTATCCATCCATCCATTCAGGGACACCCAGGTTGCCTTAATATATTGGCTATTGTAAATAATGCTGCAATGAACATATGGATGAGTACGTCCCTTCAAAGTAGCATTTGTGGGTTCTTTGGAAAAATACCCCAAAGTGGGATTAGTAGGTACTTCTTTGTCTCTTCTACTTTTTGTTTTAAAGTCTGTTTTATCTGGTATGAGTACTACTACCCCAGCTTTTTGCTTGTTTGTTTCCATTTTCATGAAATATCTTTTTTCAATCCCTTTACTTTCAGTCTGTGTGTGTCTTTCAATCTGAAGTGAGTCTCTTATAGCATATGTAAATATCATGTTTTCTTATCCATTCAACCCCCCTCCATCTTTTGATTGGAGCATTTAATCCATTTACATTGAAAGTAATTGTTAATAGGTATGTAGTTATTGCCATTTTATTCATATTTTTAATTATTTTTTTATTTTAAAGAAGTCCCTCTAAAGGGCCGGCTGAGTGGCTCAGTTGGTTAAGAGCTCACTCAAGAGTTTGAGCTCTGAGCAACAGTGTTTCGAGTCCCGGCCCAAGCTGAGCAGCCGCTGAGCTGCCAACAGGTGGCAGGATGGCTCAGCTAAAAAAAAAAAAAGAAAAAAGAAAAAGTCCCTCTAAGATTCCTTGTAATATTGGTATAATGGTGATGAATTCGTTTAGGTTTTTCTTGCCTGGAAAGCTCTTTATCTGTCCTTCAATTCTAAATGATAGCCTTGCTGAGTAGAGTAATCTTGATTATAGGTTCGTGCTTTCCATCTCTTTGAATATTTCCTGTTAAACCCTTCTGGCCTGCTTTGATTCTGTTGAGAAATCATCTGACAGTTTTCTGGGAGCCCCCATGTAGGTAACTAACTGCTTTTCTCTTGCTGCTTTTAGGATTCTCTTTGTCTTTAACCTTTGCCATTCTAATTATAATGTGTCTTGGTGTGGGCCTCTTTGGGTTCATCTTGTTTGGTACTCTCTGGACTTCCTGGGCTTGTATGTCTATTTCCTTTGACAGGTCAGGGAGGTTTTCTGTCATTATTTTATTAAATTGGTTTTCAATTATTTTCTCTCTTCTCCTACTGGTACCCAAATGATGGGAATATTGGTATACTTGATGTTGTCTCAGAAGCCTCTTAATTTATCCTCATTTTTGGACTCTTTTTTCTTTTTGCTGTTCAGATTGGGTGTTTTCTGCTACCTTATCATCTAACACGCTGATTCAGTCCTCTGCTTCATCTAATTTACTGTTGATTACCTCTAATGTATTCTTCATTTCTGCTATTGTATTCTTTATTTTTGACTGGTTCTTTTTTATGTTTTCTATCTCAATTTTTATGTGTCTTATCTGTTTTTTGAAGTTCTCCCCTAGATCATTGAGCATCCTTATAACCAGCATTTGGAACTGCATCTGGTAGATTGCTTATCTCCATTTTGTTTAGCTCTTTTTCTGGAACTTTGTTCTGTTCTTTCATTTGGGAATGTTTCTTTGTCTCCTCATCTTGGCTGCCCCCCTGTGTTCATTTCTTTATATTAGGTAGGGCTGCTATGCCTCCTGGTTTTAGTAGAGTGACCTTTTGTAAGAAGTGTCCTTTGGGGCTCAGTGGTGCAGTCTCCCTGTAGCCAGGTGCTCTAGGTGTGTTCCTTGTGTGGGTTGTGTGTGACCTACTTTTGTACTTGAGCCTTGGTTGCTGTTTGCTCATCAGTGGGAGGGATTGACCCTCAGGCTCCTTGGTTGTGAGGACTGGCCATGACTACAGTGGAGGAGTCATGGTGCAGGGGCTGATCCTACAGAGCAGCATCTGCCTCAACAGGGCTATGGGGCATGCTCAATTTGTCCCTTGGTTTTGTCATCTTTGGAGGTACCTGGGTGATGTTCCAGCTCATTTTGAAGCTGGCCACTGGGCTTGCCCACCCCAGGGCCACCTGGGAGGGGACCCGCTGCAGGTCAAGTTCAGCTGCAGCCCATGCCCCACCTAGGGCCACCAGCAGGAGCCTCAAAGCAATCTGCAGATGTCCCTACCTGCACCATGCTTGGAAGTGCCTTGAGAGGCCAAGCTGTGAACCAAGGCCGGCTGCCGCTAGTGCCAAGCTTAGGGCTGCTCAGCCAGAGGTATAGGACATGCTCAAGCCAGATGCTGCTTGTCTGGGCTCTGCAAACCTTTGAGAGACCCTAGGAAAGTCTGCACCATGATACTGGGCAGGTGGTTTGTATGAAGAAGTGCATAATTTTTAGTGTATTACCACCATGCAATATTTAGGACATATTTATACTAAAAATTATTTATTATTCATCTGAAATTAAAATTAAACGTGGTGTCCTTTATCTGGAAACTATGCCTTAATGTGCTTTGACATCTCCACTCAGCTCCTGGGTTTTGCAAAGATGGTGTATAATGTTCTTTCAGGGTATCACTATAAAATGATATCTCTCATTATACTAGTTATTTACTAGAATAATATTTACTAGTTGAAATGTGTGTGTGTGTGTGTGTGTGTGTGTGTGTGTGTGTAAACATATAAAATATCTGTGGACTCCAGTTTCTATTTACTTTGAGGGGAGTTTATGCCTTTAATTTGTACCTGTTTTTCAGAGCAATTTAATACTGATATATTTCTGATTTTTTAGTTTCAAAGTAGATGTATTTTACCCCCTTGCAGTGGACTGCACTGTATAATCCATTGAAGTCCTAAATAAAAAGTAACTAATGCATAAAGGAGTTTTTTGTTAAATACTTGTTGAATGGATAAACTGTTCTTTAAATAAACACCTGTTAAATAAACTATTGTATTTTGCAGGTGAAATGCATAGATGTTATTCAGGCTTATATCAACAGAATCATTGATGTGAACCCAATGATCAATGGAATTGTCAAGTACAGGTGAGCATTTGTACTATAATGGTTTTTGTTGTATTTCTGTGGCCATACCATCTTGGCATATTTCCTAGATTCCCCTTCCCTGTGTCCTTCCTTTGGTTCCCCACTGGGACCTGCCCTGACTTAGAATTCAGCACTTCCTGCCGTTTGTTGAACTTTTATGCTTCTTTGTCTGCCTACTCTCACCGTCCACTGACTTTAAGCTCTATGATGGCAAGAAATGTATTTTGTTGGATTTTACATATTCAACATCCAGAACAAGGCCTGAAACTTGATAGGCATCACTGACTATTCATTGAATTAATGAGTCTTTGGTAGGGATTCTAATAGGAGAAGGCTCCCTTACTGCTACATTATCCAATGTGGATTTAGTATAGTAGATGGTATTTTAAAAAGATATTCTATGTGTGATTTCTATATCCCAGTTTTCAAGTAAACACTTCCAGGGAGCTGTGAACTATTAAACGGACAAAACTTGGATTTGTTTTTCTGTAGCATCCTACACATCACAGTTCTTATTATTTCATGACAGGGTGGCATTTTCTAGATCTCAGTCATTCATATAGCACCTTTAAGAATCTTGTCTTGAGCCAGCCAAGTGGCTCTGTTCGTTAAGAGAGTGAGCTCTGAGCAACAGGGTCGCCAGTTCGATTCCCACATGGGCCAGTGAGCTGCGCCCAAGCTGAACTGCCAGCAGGTGGCAGGATGGCTCAGCTGGTGAGAGTATGTGCTCCTAACAACAAGGTTGCCAGTTTGACTCTTGCATGGGATGGTGGGCTATGCCCACCCGCAACTAAGATTGAGCACAGCACCTTGAGCTGAGCGGCCGCGGGCTGCCAAAGGGTGGCGACATGGCAACTGGACTTGGAGCTGAGCTAGCTGAGCCCTCCACAACTAAGATTGAAGGACAACTTGGCTGTTCCCCTTCCCCAATTCCCCAACACTGTTCCTCTTCCCCAAGTCCCCAATAAAAATCTTTAAAAAAAATCTTGTCTTGTTTGCACAGCAATTCTGTTATTTTTAATTAATATACTTATTAATAATTGAATCACTTATTTTGGCTTAAGACAATTATTTTTAAGTGAAAGTTTATATTACTACAAAATTTTGAAAACCATTATCACTTGACATAGGTGGTTACTGTATATGTAAATAAAATGAAAAATAGCAAGTATTACGAAATGGTAAACATTTTAAATATTTTTTATGAAATAAAAAGACTGCATCAAATGGATTTGAGCTTTATAGTTACTTTATACATATTTCCTTACTTATTCACTTCAATAGCTTTTCCAAAAAGTATTATATTTTCTGTTTTATAGATGTGAAAAATGTGACCCAGAGAAGTTAAGTTACTTTCCTAGGATCACATAGCTAATATATGACAGAGCCATGATCCAAATGTATAGACATCTGATGCCAAAGCTCACAGAAACAGAAATACAGAGAGTCTTTATGTTCCAGGAGTCCTCCCTTGCCCCTTTCCTTTTTCAGTGGGCCAGCTCTACCCTGGTCCCATCTACCAACTCTTTTAGCAGCTCCTCATCCCAAAGATATTTCCCCAGATTCTGCACAGGGTTTTTATTTGAAATGTTGTTTGAAGTTAATTTGTTGACAGAGTATATCTTTAAACATTTGAGAGAGAGAGAGAGAGAAATTCTGTTATTTATAGTTTTCTATTTTATTTTAATTAGTGTGAGTCCTAAGGAGGGAAGTCTTTTGTTGCAGAACATGTTTCTGTGTGTGAGGATACTAATAAATGTATGAGAGGGAATTAAATTGCCATCCTCATTGAAAGTGATAGTGTAGGCCTACAAATAGGACACTGGAGAGTCTGCTGGTGGGTGGGTGGGGGGAGTAATGCAGGGCAATAGTTGTCAAGGGATTGAAGATTAGGAGAGAGAGATGACATGGATACCTTTAGGAGAGAATTTCAAAAATAATTTTATGAAATTTATTTATGCTATGTGTAACATCAGTGTTTTTCCTGCCTCTCTTAAAGCACACCAACATGGCTTTATTGTGCTCATTATAATGTTGCTATTGTATTTGCAATTAAAATATTGGCGTTAAAGTGAAAAATATATGTAAAGCACACAGCACAGAACCTTACATCAATCAGTGTTAGCTATTGCTATTGTGATGGTTGTTATTACAACTGGAGCTCAATAAATGGAGCTATCCTCATGATTATACACAGTTCTACTGTATTCCTATCCTGTATTTACTTGGCACTAAAACTTACTCCCACGGTAGTTCCGTGATTAAAGTCACACGCACAGCTAGGAAATGCAGTAGTGGCGGAAAATGTGGACTCTGAATCTGCTGGTCCCTAGTTTACTCTTTGTACTCTTAACTGACTGATCAGAAAATGTTCACCACTTTATCACCTTCTTCCCAAACCGGTTCTTCCACCTCGTCACACAAGCAAGATACCTGGGTGTAACCCTGGGCTCCAACTTCTTCCCTCCTTTCCGAAGTCTATCCCCCAACTCGTTAGTCAACATATTTTGCTGGCTCTTCTTCCTTGTTACCCATCATGCTGGCATTCTCTGTTACTTCGTATCCTATACTCTAGCATACTGAACTACTCCGTTTTCCCTAAGCTAGTGTTCAGGGGAGCTTATCCCCCTAAACTCTCTCTTATCTCACTCACTTTGCATGTTTTCCTTCTGCCTGGAATACCTTCCCTTTTCCCATCTCTTCTGTACTTGGCTGAATTATTTTTTGAGAACTCAGCTCAGGTTCTCAATTTCACTTTATTTAATCATCTCGGCTTGTGTGAGGTGTCTACCTCTGAGCTCCCAGAGCACATTGTGCTCTTGTCACTCTTGTTTCATTCAGGGTCCAGAACCACACTATTTTAAACAATATAATGTACAGATTTGTTGTGTTTAAGCTTCTTAGGTATGAGCAACCAGGCAGCACCCTCTTCTTGTGTGTGGGTCCTTAGCTCTGCAGGCACCTCCTTTGACTTTCTAAATTCTGATAATCCCAATCTTTTCCCTTTATTCTCTCAGATCTGAGCATGATAGCTGCTTCTAGCAGTCATTATCTCTTCATTGCTCCAGTGCTACATTTCTGTTTTTTCATTCCTTGAAGAGGAAACCTTACACAATTGTGATTCAGACCTCTGAGGGGCAGTTGCCAGATGATTGATACTGGTATTTTTGAGGGGATGTAGTAAGACTGGTTCTAAAGTGTGGAAATTGGAAGCTGGAACCAACTATCTTTGTGTGGATGAAACGCCGTGTTGGGATAGTGTCATCAGGAATAACAAACAAACTGGAAGATGGAAATCCTTTCACCTTTTACCTTGTCTTCTAGTCTCTATCTAGCACCGTGTATTTGAAGGATCTAAGAGGGTACCAGTTGGCAAAGGAAAACTGAGTTTTCTGAGTTCCATCATAAAGTGGGGGGATAGAATACTTGGTTTGGGGCTGCGTTGCTATTGTGGTCTTAATGACCTCACCCACCAGACTGAGCTCCTCAATGGCAGGGATCATATCTATTCATTTTGACATTCTTAATGCCTAGCACATGATGTAACATGCAATAACTCTTAAAGGATTCACTAAGATACCCGTTGTTTATGTTCATCTTTGAACTCAAAATATGACTTCCTCTAATGCTCTGCAGCCTGCCAGCTTGTCAAGTCCTCTTGGATCGTGATTACCAGTGCACTGTTTCTCTTTTCTCTTGATTGGTTGAAAAAGTACAGATTTGTTTCGAGTTTTAGGCCTTGTTCCCTGGGGCATGTACGGTCATGCATTCCAGCCAATAGGTGTGTTCTTTCCTAATATTGAGCAACATGGAAAATGGTCAAGGCAAGCTTTCTGGGAGGCCTAGAGTGCAGAGATGGTGTGACAAACAAAACTATATACGTATAGAGTCATACAGACCCAGTTTGGGTTTCTTCTTGTTATTTAGTAGTTGTATGACCTTAGATATGTTTCTGAGCCTCTCTGAGACTTTGTTTCATTCTTAGTAAATGGCAAAATAATATGGACTGACAATGTATATAGTTTCACAAAATTAAATGATTATAAAGTGCCCAACAGTTTCGTTCATTTATCCCCCATACCTTTGTTCAATGCCTACTATGTGTCTGACCCTGTGCTAGATGTTGGAAGATACACAAGTGAACAAAACACAGTCCCTGGCCTTTCACCTTCCAGCCTAGTAGTTGAAACATGCGAATAACTATTGTTTACAACACAAGTCAAATTAACACTCTGATAGGGTAAAGAGATGACACTGTGGGAGCACAGAGGAGGTATACCTATGCAGGTCTGGAGAGGTGTCTGGGAAGGCTTTCTAGAGGAAGTGATGCAAAAACAGAACTCTGAAAAATGAATAAGACTAAGCCAGATGATGGTAGCAGTCTGTATAGCTTCTGCTACTCGGGTGAGGAGGCAGTATAGCTTTTCACCAGAGCACGAGGTTGGCATCATCCTTGGATTTTGCTCTCCTGCTCCCTGATCTACTGAGATCACTGGGTGGGGGCAGGATTTCAGGGTATATCGTATAAAAAAGCCTTCTCAGACCTCAGTAAAGTCTCTCACTCACCCCACATTGTATAGCCCATATATCATGCTGGTATCACAGCCTCCCTTAGGACTCATTTTCAGTATGTCTCCATACAGGCACGGGTGAGGATTCTTGTTTGGGGTGCCTGGTTTTAGACAGGCTGAAATAATGGGGGTTTGTTTGCTGTCAGGGATTTAGTGCTGCCTGCGGCACTGAACCCATGTGTGACAGTAGCCAGCTTCCTTTCTGCCCATAACAACCTTCTCTCAGAGCTCTCTGCTTTCGCTGGTTATGTGTAGCTTAAGTTTGGGCAATATTAATGAAGGGGCTTTTAGGACCTTTGAAAAGTGTGCATGACTACCTCTGCCCTATATTTGGAAGGAATAGGACTTGGGAATCTGACTGGCCCGTGTTACTGGGCTGGGAAATTCCTAGGTGCCAAGTGCTCCAGGAACCCTGTCTTACCACCAACA